TAAGAAATAATCATAAAAGTTTAAAATTAATTTGTTTCTAAATAAGTAAATATTTAGGATGCATGAGAAGTAAAAAGACTAGCAACACCTAACTCGTTTAATCCTAGCTGGAAGAGTGCAAAACCTCCCTATAACTGGATGAATAAACGAGCCAAGGATATCAACTAAGAGAAACTTAAGACACTTAACCTCAGGTTAGGAGATTGATAGGAACAAAAAGAAATGGAGAAGACTCTTATCTTTCCCTTTCCTTGCTTTTTCTTGGAAACCATCAACCCTTGAAAAACTCAGCAAGTCCTAGAACTTCATCAAACAAATATAGTACAGGCTCTCATTGCTTAAGATAAAATTCAAAAGAATCAACTGTCAAACTATAACAACCTAGAAAAGACATAAGATACTTATATATTGGAACTCCATCCACTGCCAAAGGCTGGAGAAAACTCGAAGAAGATAACAGAATAATCCAAACGACTATTTAAGATTTCTTCCCTTTGCAAACTTCACCCATCAGACCCAAGAACTTCTACTGCCAACTACATATACCGAAATAATTCCTTGATATAGTATTCATGTATCAGATTATCCAGAATTAAAGTTTGCTCAAAACAAACTCAGTTGCTCTGCAAAGTGAGCAGGACTTGCAAGACTAAAAGGGTTACAACACTAAAGACAAAACTGGGGAACAACAATGGCTCAAAACTACAAAGCAGATTAACGGTAGCGGCGGAGAGAGAGAGTCTGGTTCCTCTTCCAGGTTGCTCTTCTTGAAGGACGTGCTTTGTGGTGCAGGTGTCCCTTTCCTCGGAGACCCCTGTATTTCTTACCAGCTGAAGTGAGACCACGAAGTTCTCTGTGCTTATGCACTGGGTTGCATATCCAGTTAATCCTTGGATCATTACGGATGGCAGCATGGGCTTGGTCAACCAGGATCACCTCAAAGTACTTGTAGGTAGAATCCTACATTCAACAACATTGCAATTCAGATTTCATAACTTTTTTGAACCAAATATGGAGAAAAGAAAGGATTCAATGGAGACCACAGCATATCAATATCAAAGTAAAATCACCTATTCGAGCAAACAAATATAAAATATCAATGTAGTCAAAACCCAAAAATCAAGCAAACAAATAATTTAAACAACTTAAAATTAGCAATTAATGGTGATTCAGAATACGTAGTTCCTTGTCTGAAGCAAAATAAGGATGCATTAATTTCAGGAAAGGAGAATCAACCAACTGACCTCATTAATCCAGTATGAATTGAGAACCTTAAGGCCGCCCAACTTCCTACCAGCACGCTCCTCAGCAACAGAGCGCTTGCTGCGCTGGAACTTCAATTGGGTAACACCTTGGTTGGTGGGCTTACCATACACAATACCTTTGGGAACAGGCCTCTTCCTTCCACCACGTTTCACACGAACACGGTAGACCACATAGCCCTATTATATAAAGATGACAAGTCATAAGTTAAAACAACCAAACGGAAATCAAGCAAGAAAACATAAAACTTCTCCATAATACTGTTATTTGGCGAACAATAACTGACCACTTGCAGGCCCTTATTAGAAAGATAACTTGTTAGAGCTTGTTTTCATTCCCTGGCACGGAAACTACATATAACTGATGAAAGAATAACCTAATAAGGGAATCCTGGATTTCTCCCCAACCTAGCAACAAGCAGATATAACAGTCAAAGCTATACAATTAGTCTTGAGTTGTCCCCCTTTTATTAGTGTGACAAGTGACTTGTCTTTAGACTTATTTATTTCACCCAAAAATTTCTCGTAGCGTCTAATGCGATGAAAGAATAAGGGAATTCTACGGCCTTTGACAAAGAAACCTATACAAACCAGCACTTTAGTGTACTGGATTTACACCCAACTAGAGCAACAACAAGAGATACTATAGTTAACACGATATAACTAGTCTATAATCTCTTTATTTATTTATTTGGAACAAGAATGTCCCCTGCTTAAGGACAGCAGGCACAAATTGAGAAACGATCCAAATTTAAGAAAACAGTTAAAAAAGAGGAGTGATTACTCTTATTGATTCAATCATCAAATGTCCTGTCACCAGAAGCACTAACCTAAACGGCTTCATACAGATTAGACACACTACTAAAAAGAACAAATCCTATGAGAATTGGCATAGATCAAAATTCAGTAATTAAGAACACAACAAACAAACAGTTACCTGCTTGGCTTTGTAGCCCAAGCGACGTGCTTTGTCGGGACGAGTAGGCCTAGTAACACGGACAATGGAGGGAAGCTGGCGGTACTCCCAGCACCTCACCCTTTGCAAGAACCTCATCACATCAGACTGCTTCTTCCTCCATAACTCCGACACATAAGTGTAAGCACCTGCATTTCCGCAACAATACCAATATAGAAATTAATCCATACTTTCAAATCTAAAACCTTTTCTTTTATTGGTAAATGATGTGTATCCAGAAAAAAAAATATGAGCATATAAATATAAGCATCAAGTGAGTACTGAGGAATATGTACAATATAGAAACACTACAGGTTTCGTAATGTGCTCAAAAAAATCTAACATGACTTCAAATCTAAAACCAGTTAAACAACTCATCTGCTCATAAAGATAGGCAATTATGTACTTAGCGCAGAATTCACTTGAAACTTACACAATTAATAAACCAGATATGTTACATAACCGTTCACAAAAGAGAAGACCCATTTTCCAACATTCAGAGATTTACCGATTCAATGAAAAAAGGCACACACAAAAATAAAAGGAAAATGAGCGATTTTCGACATTTTGAGAACTTTACCCATTGAATCGCTTCTGGGGTGTCTCTGCTTCTCTAGGATGGGTTGTGGAGGGACTAGGGTTTTACAATGTTAACGTTTTTAAACGATTATGACAGACGTCCTCAACTGGGCCTGTAGCTGGTTACTGGGCCAAACACATTCAGTTTGAATGGAAAGGATCTGGGCCTATCTTGTCAGTGGGTTGGGTTTTACCACTCCCCTTTTAAGAAGGGGTCTTTACACATATAGCCGTCTATATTCACTGTTAACTTTTTTTAGCCATATACATAGTTTAGGATAATCTACGCGGTATACCCATTGAAAACATCAGTTAACACCATATACAATTAATATATTTATTTTACTCTGTATACCTACTTTATAAAATTATTTTACCATGTATACCTACTGTATTCGAAAATATAATCTTGTATATTCCAAATTAGAATATTGTGATATATTTAATTTGGATATTGTATTCCAAATTAGAATATTGTGGCATGTTTAGTTTGAATATTGTATTCCAAATTAAAAATTATTGTATATTTGCTAT